GTTGGGGTTATCACTTCGTGAGGGGTGTAAATGTCTTAATCATTATGTTGTTTTTGTACACCTGAAACTAATTAAAAAATAAATTCAAAAAAATTTTAAAAAAGAAAGTATGAGAGGCATGCTTGGCTGCACTGACTTCTGGAACATGGCTAACATATGCCAAGTCCATTCTGTCTTTTAAAAACAAACATTTTTGTGGGGTGGCCGATTAGCTCAGGTGGTTAGAGCGCAGTGCTCATAACACCAATGTTGCTGGCTCAGTCCCCACATGGGCCACTGAGCTGCGCCCTCCACAACTAGATTGAAACAACTACTTGACTTGGAGTTGATGGGTCTTGGAAAAACACACTGTTCCCCAATTTAAAAAAATTTTTAAACAAAACCATTTTTCTTACATTATCAGTTTTGTTTTTATTAGTAGTAAACATTTCTTCAATGAAGAAGTGCCTTATGTCAAAGAAAGCAAAGCACGAGGTAGTCCTAAGCTGTTTTTAATTTGTAGTGAAAGAGGATGACAGTGGAAAACAGTCTGCTCTGTCCAGATTTCTGTTTTCCCCATTTCAGAACGCTGAAATTGCTCTTGATAGATCACCAGTGACCTCCTAAATTGCCGCAATTGACTCCCCCATCCTGTTCCTAGCTGCGTTTGCTTTATTGACGGTTTCCTCCCTCCTTCCTGATGTTCTTTCTTCCCTTGGTTTTGAAATTCTTTAGTCTTCTGATTCTCCCCCGAGGTCTGATGAGAATTACTCTTTGGGCATATTCATCTCTCTCCTCTGCCCCTGCTTCCCACAGAAGTTCATCTGTAGGCAACCTTTCTTTTCACTCTTTTCACTCTAAATCCTTTTGGGGGGCAATTTGACCAGCATTGACTAGCAAGTCTGAGATGTAACACCCGCAGAAGACAGTTTTAACCTACATTCCTCCAGATAGGTACTCTCACAGGGTATTTCTGTGTTGGCATGGCCTCCGACTCTTGTATGATAATACTCGACCTGTCAGATAAAGACTCGGACCACAGAGTTAAATCGAGTTGCTCAACAAAAGTAATGAAGCCTTCCAATCACAAGGTACATGGACTTGAAGAGAACACCTTGGAATTTTATAAACAACTCCTCTCTGAGATTAATTCACATCACCCATAACCATTGCATCTTATCCTGTCTCTAGCTAATTTGCAAGACCTGGGAACACAGCTGCTCTTTTTTTTTTTTTTTAGGTTACTGCTATAAGATTGACTTTTACCCCTTACAACTGGCATTATCTAGAGTCTCCCCTGTTTCTACAGCTTAGTCCTCCCCCAAGGCAAGTCTTCATGCAACACAGACAGAAGTCTTAGAATAAGGCAGGAGAACCTCCTAAGGTCTACCCATAACTCTCTACTGCTTCCCAGTTTGACATGTGGAGTTTGCTTCAGAGCCTGCCTTCTGGGAAGCTGCAGGATTAGTCATAACCGCTTCCTATCTAGCCTTGCTTCCATCTCACACGGTGTTAAAATCTTACCCAGTTTTGCCTGAAAGTAGTTAAAAATATTCCTTTTATTGATACTTGTGAAGTTGTTTTATATCTGTATTTACTTCTCGTGACAGGAAACGCAAGATCTCTGGATCTGAGAACATATCACTAATTACTCAAGACCATCCTTGCACCAGTTCCCATGCCCCAAATCCCCATAGGAAAATGCAGTGAGGGCCAGATATTTGTCATGTGGGCATCGCAGTACAGGAGAGAAACCCCCAAATTATGAATATCAGAGCTTATATAAAGAAGCTGGTGAGAGAGAGAGAGAGAGAGAGAGAGAGAGAGAGAGAGAGAGAATCGACTTTTGCTATAGAATGTAAACAAATCCTCCCCAGGGAGAGAGGAAGGTAGCGGTCTGTTGTTCTTGGAAGGTAAGTTAGACTGTAAGCAAAGGGCTCCAAACTGATAGGTTTGTAAACCTCTCTGGAGCAATGTACTAGTCTGAACTCCAATGTATGTTTACTATTCAATCATCCTTTAACCCAGTTCCCAATGCTCTTTGCTCAGAAAGCCCAGACCATGCGGAAATGTGAACATATGTATGGTCAGTAGTTGCCATCTCATTCCTCTTCTCAAAATCTAATGCCAGTTGCCTATTAGATATGTGCTGTCTGATGCCCCAAATGCTCTCAATACTATTATGTCTAAAACTGAACCCATCACTTACACACGTACACACATAAGCAGAAATGCATTGGAACCTGTTCATCTGAAATACAGTAAAACCTTGGATTTCAAATAGCGTGGTTTGTGAGTGTTCCGCAAGATAAGCAAACATTTCTAATACATTTTAATGTGGTAAACGAGCGATGTCTTGCAATACAAGTAGTTTGTTTCTGGAATGAATTATGCTCGCAAACCAAGGTACTACTGTACTTTTACTCAGTGACACCACTATTCACCTGGATATTCAGGCCAGAAACCTGGAAGTTGTTACTCAAGTCTTCCCTGCTCTTCACCCAACACAGTCATTGAGTTCTGCTGTCTTCTTCCTTATGAACATGTTTCTCAATTCAGTACAATAATGAATACCAACTAGATATTTGATTATCTTAATGGAGTTTTGTTAATTCTGTGGGTGTGATAGTGGTATTATGTGTACTTTCCTTGAAAAGAGTTGAAATATGTTGTAAACACATACTGAAGTATTTATGGATAAAATATTATATCAATTTATTTCAAAATAATCCAGTTGAGGAGATAAGGGTATGGGATCATAATGAAACAAGGTTGTCTATGGCTTCATAAGAGTCGACACTGGACAGTAGGTTCATGGGGACTATTGGTACTATTTTCCTGCATTTGTATGTATTTGAAATTTTCTGTAATACTCTATAAATCATGGTTTCTCACTGGTTACTGAATGACATTCAGAATTTTAAAAGCATATCATTAAACATCTCCAGCCTCTGTTTGCTGACCCATCTTCCCCTAATCCTCTATGTTTTCAAAAAGTCAGCCAAATATACCTGCTCATGTTCCCTGTCTTAGCATGCATGTAACATACTAACTATAATGTTCTACTTCTTTCAATTACTCAACTGTGTCACCCTTTCCTGAGCTTGCAACCAAATATGATATTAATATATAATTCATTCCTTCACTGAACTTCCAGAAAAGATCCGGCACCACTTAGACCACTCATAATATTCTTCCTTGTAATACAGTTGGGGCTACTACACTTTTATTTTTAACTTCAGTCTTCCAAACCACACCCTCCCCTACTACCAGAACCCGATCAATTTAAAACTTCTCAAAAACAAATGAATAAAACTGTGATTCACCTACCTTTGCTTTCTCTGTATTGATCCTTTTACATGGAAGAGCTCAGTAAACGTTTGCTCAAATGACTTGTCTGTAGCAATTCAGATGAGCAAAATAAACAAATTCATATTATCAAAACCAGCCAAATTTGTAATTTTTAGCTAATGTTTTTGAAAATCAGTATTTTTAAAGAATTTCATCACAGAAGGAGTTTTTGGTTTGTGATTTTTTTGCCCCCTTAAATACAATCTAGATACAAAATTATGGATTTAATTTGGAATACATTGGTTTCTTTATTTATTAAAGAGAAATGCATTAGTACCTACCATGTACTAGGTACAGGTCTGAGCTCTGGGAACCCAATAGAGAGCAAGACAGATGACATCGCTGCACTCATAGGGTGTAGTCTCGTGGTGTAGAGAGACCACTAGATATATAATTTTATGTTAGTCATAAGTGCCATGAAGGATACAGGATATACAGAGTGATTAGGGCTGCTATTGAAAATAGAGTGATAGAGAAGACTCCTTTGATATGAGAAAGAAGTAAGGGAGCCCGCCATATAAATGTGTTGGAGGGAAAGAATATTTTGGCAGAGAAAACAGCAAGCACAGAAACCTTGAAGCAAGAGTATGCTTGGCACACTTGAGGAACACAGAGGGGCTAATGAAGCTGAAATAGTGTGAACTTGGACGACACTAGGAAACAATAAGATTGGAATTGGAGTCTGCTTACAACCAAGTCATAGAGCTTTGAAGGTCATGGTAAAAATTATGGGTTTGATGAAGAGCCACTGGAGGGTTTGGAGTGGAGCAGTAATATAATCCAATTTGTTTTAAAAGAATCTCTTTGGTTCTTGTCTGGAAAATTGACTGGGAGAGGGGCAAGACTGGAATTAGAAGGATCATTTCGGTAGCTGTTGCCATAATCCAGGTGAGACATCATGATAACTCATATCAGACCTATAGCAAGGGAGGTAATAGGAAGTGCTCAAATTCTAGATATATTCTGGAAAGAGATCTGACAGGATTGTCCAATGATTTGAATACTGGGGGTTAATAAAGAAAGCTCAGCAATAATTCCAAGGTTGTCAGCTGGAATAACTATTAATTGATATGTCATTTACTGAAATGGGGAAACTATCAAAAGAGGAGGTTAAGGGGACACAGTTCAGAACTTGGCTAGGGACATATTAAGTTTGAGATGCTCATGAGATATCCAAGTGTCAAGAAACTAGTTGGATCTTTTGAGTTTGGAGTTCAGAGTTGAAGTCAGGGCTGGAGATACAGTTTGGGAGCCATTGTTGTATAGAGGGTATTTACAGTCATAGGACCAAGGAAAGAAGTGTCACAACTAAGAACACTCAATATTAAGAGATTAATAAGAAGAGAAGGATTCAGCACAGGAGCCTGAGAGGCAGTAGACAAGAAAGTGGAAGAAAAGCCAGAAGTGTTCAGGTTACAGAAGCCAAATGAAGATAGAGTTTTAAGATGGAGGAAGGGATCAACTGTATCAAGATCAGGGCTGTGAATTACCCATTGAATTTGGGCCTGTTGAAACCACTGGGCTTCAGGACTGACGATTTTAAGAAGTCAATAATTAAGAATTGCAACACAGTTTGTGACTTCTGGGGTTTATACATTTTCTTTTTTTTTTTCCTCTTTCCCTAGACAGTGGATTCATTTCTGATGTGTTTTACAATTTTAATATTACAGAATATAAAAGACAGCCTGCAACAAATCACAGGTCGGATTGACATGATTCACAATAAGAAGACAGCAGCATTGCAAAGCACCACCCCTGCGGAAAGAGCAAAGCTCCAGGAAGCTCTCTCACGGCTTGATTTCCAATGGGAAAAAGTTAACAAGATGTACAAGGACCGCCAAGGGTAGGTCACACTTTCATTTTACTGAATGATTGTACCTATTTTCAGGGAACTCTTGACTTCATTTCAATGTTCTCCACTGAATAAAGAGAGGTGGGGAGGAAAAGAGAGAGAGAGTATTCCTAATATTGGAAAAAGGTAAGTGGAAGAACAAATAATGATGAATGGTTCAGACTACTGAGCTGAACTCTAGAAATTATCCTGTACTGAAGTTAACATGATGTTGTTGCACTACACTATATTATCTGCCAAAATCAGGTAATGTCAAAACAGGTATTGTCATTGAATTGAGTTGGTGTAAATAATTGTATAATATAAAATGTACATCTTTGGTCAAATCTCTGTCCTGTATATTTATAGCAGTTTGATACTTAGAGTAATCGGTTTCAAATACAAGCTACCAACAAAAAGTTGATTTTCACTTATTGTTTCTGTTTTTAAGGCATTGCTTTACATTTTGAAGTCCCCCCCCCCACACACACTTATTTTATGGCTATGAGGAATTTGTTAGGTTGATTTATTATAAAATAATGTTTTAGTGCATACTTTAATAAAAATATCTAGCTTTTGATCAAAATGTTTAAATTCACATACACCCTCTAGCCTCATACCACAAGAAGGTAGAATATTGTTTTCTCTTCCAATTTTAGATTAAAAGCAACAGTGTTCTAATGTCTTTAAAACAATTTGTTTCAAAGATTGGTAGTCTCAAAACAGGCTTCATCATTATTCTCAGAGGAAATGAAATCATTTTTAATAGTTATAGGGAACCTCCTAAATAGCTCTCATATCTGTCCATTTCTAATTCTCTTCACTTTTATTTTAATGCTTCATTTACTACATTAGGCTCCTAAACCGATACTTCCAGTAGAAATCATGGTTCTCTCTAATGGGCATCCCTACTTTGCTCCCAGTTGTGTTTCATCCAGAGTTGTTTTTGTAAAGTGTAAGAACTTCAGCACTATAATCTCATTTCCCTTAGAATAAAGTCCATACTCCTTCATTGGGCGTATAAGGCCTTCAGATGCCCCTCTGCTCATCTGGTCAGCCTCACTGCTTATCAATTCTTGCCTGAACTAAAACCCCTCCAAGTTCTGCTCTGGCAATATTCAATTGATTTGAAGATTGTCTAATGGTTTGTGCCCCCGCTGGCCTGTCTGTCCTTCAGGTCTCCCCTGATACGTTATTTCTTTCTTAAAATCCAAAACCTGTCAATTGATTATAAAGTCTAGAAACACATATCATTTTATCATTGAATGTAATATCAGACCATTTATGTGGTTGCAAATGTTACCAGACTCAGTGGCTCCAAAGTGACCTACTCGTAGAATTTACCATCTAATAATCAATTCCTTTACTTGTGTGCCTCCTGCACAAGTTCCTTAAAGACAAGAGCTATGTTGTATTTTGTGTGAATGGCTCAGCACTAATATAGTCCTGAATCCAAGGTTGGTGTTCAGTGTGTCTGGACTCAAGCCTCCTCCCAGAAACCTGAGAATATTTCTCTCTGGGTGGTCTAATGATTTTATCTCAATTTCCTAGAAAACAGCTGATCCCAGAGTATCCAAAGCTAGTCTTGATAAAAGAAGTGAAACTCAGCAACAATGTGCGTATACTATGAAAAACAAACTTCTAATGCCCCCATGGTGCATCTTCTCTCAATATCCCCCATTGCATCATTGAGCCCCTGCAAGCTACTCCAATGAGGTCAGTTTCATCACCCTGTTTTGGGTGCTCATTCCACAGTTGGGATGTTTTTGGTTGTTGTCTTCTCTCAGACACTGTTTTCTTCCAGCCATCCAGGCCACCAACACCATCTCCTAAGAACCTTGTAAGCAAGGTGGGAGCTTCTTGGGTAGCCAGTTGTTACTGGGCTTCCGTATGCACCTACTGCTTTGCACTAAAGCAGAGGTTAGACTTTCTGCTTTTCGAGGCTTCTCCCCCACTTTATTTATGGCATCTTTGGCCAATGAGCTAGGTATTCCTTCTCCCAGGGTCATATAGGTGTTTTTCTTTCAGTTCACCATTAACTGTAGACTTTAACAGAAGCAGATGCACTAATGGCATTCCATAGAAAGGGTAAACTGCAGTCTCACCCCAAATCTGGGGCCTTCCGTATGCCTGGCAAAGGATAGAGTGTCTCTAACCCCATTAGACTTGCTCTTTTCATATCCAGAGGCTGGACGAGTATCTTAATTTTATGCTAATTGGCCTTCTCTACGAATTGGTCAGAAATTATTACATTTCCTATGGCTTTTAGTCTAGTCTCAGGTAAAACTGGTTTAAATCATTGCTTATGAGACCAGGCATTGTTTTGGAATCCTGCCTTTACTTCTGACTCGCTATGTGTCCTTCAGCAAGGTCCTTAACTTTTCTGCTCCACAATTCCCTTATCTAGAATGGGATGAAATATTTCCTAAGTTGTAGCATTGTTATGAGAATGAAATGACACAATGCAGGTAGAGCGCTTAGCGGATTGCTTATACAGGATAATGACTCAATTAAGCTTGGCATTTTTTATGATGAAAACCGTGGTCTTGTGTCTCAGATCATCTTCATGCCCATTAATTTATTCTGCTATTCTTTCACATTTTCCTGAGCATCACAGAAAAAATGAATTAAATTCAGTCCCTGCTTTGGAGAAACTCCCAGTCCTGGAGAGAAAATGGACAGTCAGTAAAATATGGGTTGATAGATACGAGCTATGCTAGATGGTGAGAACAAGACCCCTGGGGAGTGGAATGGGAACATCTTACTGAGAGCCAGTCGTAAAGCAAGGTCTATGAACCATTCAAGGTTCCAAGTTACAGCTAACAGAAAGTGACTCTGGTTACTTAGGTAGAATTATTATACAATTTATTAGAAGGATATCAGGTAGCTCATGGAATCAATGGAAAGGCTTGAAAGCCATGCTTAAAAATGGACAGAAACCGGGTCAGCCGAGTGGCACGTTGGTTAGGAGTTGGCTTGGGACGCCAGCTCTGAGCAGCAGGGCCCCGGTTCGGATCCCACATGAGGGCCAGTGACACTGCGCCCTCTACAGCTAAGATGGTGAAAAACAGCTTGACCTGGAGCTAAGCTGCTGTGAGTTGCCGGCGATGGCATAGGCTGCAGTGGGGCTGGCCGGCAGTGGGTGTGAGCTTTCGTGAGCTGCCGTGAGCTACCGTGAGCGGCCATACAATGGCCGGTGAGCGACTGCCTCACCCGGGAAGAGCGCAATGATAATACCAACATGGGCCAGTGAAGCGACATCCTCCACAACTAGACTGAAGAACAAAAGGACAACAACTTGTCTGTTCCCCTTCCCCAATTCCCCAACGCTGTTCCCCTCCCCCAATTCTCCAATAAAATCTTTAAATAAAATGGACAGACACTTTCAAGGAAGACCAGCCTAGGCATTCAGAAACACATCCAGCATCAAGCCACAAAATGAATCTGTAAAGTTCTGTCATGGCCATGATATGGTACACCTAGAAGTAGCATTGCCACTGGATATTGTTTACTACTATCACTCCCTAAATTACCACTTCTTTTTGTGTCACTAACTTTAGAATTAAGGTTTCTGACAGAATCATTAATAAGGCAGGGATTGGATGTTGTTCTCTAATGTTTAGGTTAGTAAGTATTTTAGTCTTTGCAGGCCATATATTCTTTGTGGCAACTATTTAACTCTGCTGTTGTAGGGTGAAAGAAGCCATAGATAACACATGAATGAATGGGCTGGTTTATGCTAATAAAACTTTATTTACAAAGACAGATGGTGGGCTAGATTTTGTTGGTGGGCCATAAATTGCAGACTTCTGTTCCAAGGCAAGCTTAGGTCATATAAGTAGGTTCTAACTGCCATGGGTCAAGGAAAATAGCTGGAATTTGGGCTCCATTGTTGTGGTAGTCATGGACTTATTTCCCACCACGGTCCATACAATGGTACATTCTTGAGTCCTTAGAGAGATTAGAAGCTACACATTCATAAATAGACAAGTGGCCAATATAGCCTTCCTGTTGGGTTCTCGACAAAACTCTACTATGTTTTTTAATAAGCCAACTTGAGGTTAAATCAAGATACCTTTGAGCCAGTAAGAGGGTATTGGCATTTCTTCATATATGATCTGCATATGATAGTCTGTTAGCTGTTACCATAATATAGTGATATAGATCACCCCAAACTCAATGACTTAACACCACAAGCATTTATTCTCATGCTCATGGATCTTTAGGTTGCCTGTTATTTGGCTGACCTAGGCTAGGCTTGGCTGGGCAGCTGGTTCCAGCTGTGGGTTAGCTTGACTAAGCTCAGGATGTGCGTTGGTTTAAGGTCGGCTGCATGTGTCCTTATTCCAGGCCTAAAATGACGCGTCAGTGCATGCTCTTCTCATGATGGCTCGCCAGAGTATGAACCAAGTCTAACCTCCCAAGAGCACTCATGGCCTGTGTTCATGTCAAGTCCACTCCTAGTCCATTGGCCAAACAACCTGGCATCCATAGAACTGGGAAGTAGTCCCTTCCTACAGTAGAAGGGGAAGAGGGATGAATATTTGCTGAACAGTAATCCAAATTATTATAGGTAGTTAATCATTAATTATAGAAGATGTTTTATAGCTAGAAAATACCTTAGTGATTTTTGTCCTTACTCATTATGTCACAGGGGAGACTAAATCACAAAGATGTTAAGCGACTTGCCCAAGCACATACTACATGGCATATTTCTATTTTACCAAAATATTAAATGCTAATAAGTTTTTATAGTTTACTCACAATAAGTTACAAATATGATAAAATGCATTAGACTCTTGGCATTCCTAAGGCACAGGTTCTAAGACCATCATTCATCAACAAATTCATGAATGCCATAATGTCAAAACTCACCTACATTAATTTCATGATGTAACACAGACATTACTCTTTAGGAGAGGGCGAGCAGAGAATTCAAGGCCTGATTGATCTGTGACTGCTCATTCATTATCTAAGAGACCTGCTTCTATGCATTGTCTTCCAGCATATAG